ACCCCATATCCTTTTTCGATCGTCCCCATAAATGTTAAAACAAATTCAAAGCGCCTTTTTCTCATGACTCCGGATGTCCGGAGTAGGTCAAACTATGTTCTTAATGAAGGCTAAAGTTTATTTCTTTACCGATTTGATTATAATTAACGTTATCAGCCAGGCTTCTCGGGCCAAGCATGAGTGTGTTTTTCTATCAATCACTGCTTCCCGGCCCGCCGTCCTAGAGATCATAATTGTCACATACTCCTCCAAACCTTCCTAGTTATTAAAGTAGAGGATGAAATTAAATTTGCAGACACAGGCTCTGCTTAAGGGGTTAGTGTGAGTGGGTTTGGAAGGGGAAGCCATATAGACCCACAACAGAGGACCCCATGGCAGTAATTGTGTATACCTCTCATGTCAGTGAGGGGTTTTTGCTCATCGTGTTGCCTCTGCCTGTGTCAGTGGACTAGTTTAGGGAGGCCATCTGCGAGTAAACACAGATGCGAAAGAACCTCAAAGACTCTTGGCAGCTTAGACATCATATAAATCATTTTGGCGGTACTAATCTACAATATCACACTTGTACATGTTTGGTGGTCGCCATGATGCGACGCACTGGCCAGCTGTCGAGATCAAGTTAGTGTACCTGGTTCAAGAATACATCCCCGTGATCACTTACCTTCTACGATGTCAACGACAGACCCTTGACAATACTGTAAGCCTAAGTTCAAAACAGAGAATGTTCTGCAAAATTTTGGGTCTAGGCTTGTCTAAAGAAAATCAATTGGCCTAACTAGTGAAAACAATGCGTCGGCTTGACATTGATAAAGAAAAGTAATATCAAATAAACGTAAATAGATCTTTAATAACCTCGCTTTGTTGGATCTGGGGTATCTGTTGCCTTAATAAATGATGTGATGACTCACAGAGCCTATGCCCAATCAGAGTTGTTCGCTGTATTCTCTGGGGGGTTTTAGTTCTCTGTTTATGGTTTAATCTACCACTGGCTGAACTGTGCACATGTACTGGCACGCCAAGAAATCCTTAGCTAGCCCTTCTTCAAAATTGCAGCATTAGATTCAAACTGGGTTCCTCTGACGCATCCAAACCAACAAAAAATAATAGATAAATCATCTTTAGCACACCCAGCTAATCCACAATTGTAGACGACAGTTTTTTCTTACTAGACAGACAAAAAAAATACATCATCTTTAGCACGTACAGACTAAGTGAACTTTTCTCCATACCGCAACGTGCGTGTAATCTTCGACTGGGCTCTTCTTCCACTGGGTTCGGGCACGGATTTTCTGAGGCATCTAAACAAACAAAGAATACTTAGCCCAACCTGCACGACCAATTCCTCAGCCAAGCTCATCGTCTTAATCCTTTGAGGACAAGGGTTGGTCGTACTATGTGCAGTTCGTTTCACCTTATTCCCTATGAACTGTACGCTCGGTCTATCACAATATTTGAACACCTTGTTTGTTTTGCTCTGTTAACAAAGGCTCCTTCGAGAGGTCTCCACGTGCATGTGCTGTTTTGTCTTTTGTAGACAGGAAATACTCCTCCAAGGCTCTGTTTCACCTATCTGTTGTTTTACCTATTCAGCTTTTCTCGGCATTTGGTCACTGACCCTTTAGACAAAGCTAAGATATTTATCAGTTTTTATTTCTGATCAAATTGATGTACACTTTTTTCATTTTAGAAATGCTGTTCTACATAGATCTAGTACTAAAATACAACAACTCCAAATGAAACAATACGACTAGGTTTTACATTACATCCTAGATCTAATCCCTTTCCATTCCCGGTCCCTTTTGTTAGGACGAATAGGACACTTGTAAAAAAAATTTCAAGAGTACTTTGAATTATTCCATCTCCTATCTTCAAGAATAATTTTTTTTTAATTTGCCCTGATAAAACCCAAATACATTAACTTTTGTTTCAAAACTGAACCAACTTTTTAATGGGACAGGTTTGCCTTTGGCATTCTCAAAGTAATATGACAGGACACATATTCTTGTATCTTTGATAAGCTTCGAGGGCATCTGCAGCTATATCTTAAAAACATGTGTGCGAAGAACAGATCAAATACAACAGATAACATTTTGGAAATGACAGTCGAATGCTTATTAATTGCTTTTGTCATTTCCCATCTTCTATGCCCCCCCCCCCTTTTCCACCCCGTTTCCAAAATGATCTGAATTGAGTTGTTAAACATTTACTAACATTCACGATTTCTGGCCTGTTTAGTGTATTCAATTCTTGGACGCTCCTTGCAAGGGTCAACCCAGTCAGAAAGACCAAGAAGCACGATAAAGTAGACAGCAATGCGACTGACCCACATTAAAACACAAATCTCAGTATAAATGTCTTTCTGAAACTAACTTTCAGTTAAAGGCCAAACTTCTCTATAAAGGAAAAATATCCTGATTTATTAAAATTGTGTTTAACAATATAAACGCCCTACAACCAAACTTCATGTCAAATGTGGCTTGTTTCCCCAGCCACTGAACACGCCATGGCGCAAGGTGATGAGGTCCCCCGCCGTGTGGGCCATCTTGACAGGTCACGTGACACACAAGTGGGTGTTGTCCTTCATGCTGTCCTACATGCCACGATACTTTGCAGATCTCTTTGATTTCAACTTTGAGATGGTAATGGATTGGCATTTTTCTTGTCCCACTTCGGTTTTGGACAAAATTATTAGGGGTGGCTGCATCGAATAACACTGGTGTCTAAAAAACAAGGACACATTTAAGAGACAATAACTCGGTCATCTTTGGTCTAGTTTTAACAAAACTTCGAACAAGCAAATTTCAACAAAAAGGGGATCAAAATATGTATTGGTAAGAGGAAAATCAATCAACTTGTTTAAGAAGTATCAAGTTTTTAAAAGTTAAACAAAAATTGAGTGAAACTTTTTAAAACTCAACCAGGGGGCTCTCGTATCTTAGAGGTTAAGGTGTTTGCCTCTCTTTCAAAGGTCATGGATTCCAATCCGAGTGGCGACCGAAAAATTTTTTTATCTAAAATTGTCTCCTTTCACCTCCTTTCCTACTCTCTAGCAATGTTCTGTCGTCTCTTGTCGTCTCCTCTTTCTGCCCCACCCCTCACTTCCTTTGACCCCTCCACTGGGCTCCTGGCTCTTTCTGCAGCCTTTCTACTTCTACTCCTTGGCTCCTTCTTACTGCTGTCTTTCAGCCACACCCCTGATCTTCTGGTGGGAAAGATCTACACCACCTTCTCGGACAAGGGCGAAAAACCTCGGAAGGCCCATGTGCAAGTTGCGCACGTTAAAGATCACCTCTGTGGTATCAAACCGATAAGAGTAGGCTTCGGCCGCCACCTGGGCAAAATTCAAAATTTCTTACCGACTGAAAAAGTTAATGTGCCCCGTGCGCTCATATGACATTCTACAGTTGCGAGCGCCGTAAAACACTTGCAAAAAAAACTAAACCGAAATGTGCAAGTGTGCATCAAAGATTTCTCTCCAGAAAAGCTCGAATATGCTGCTGAAATTTGGAATAACCTTGTGGCATGTCGTGGGGTCAAATTTTCATGTAATCAATGGGGTTCAAGCTAAGTGAAAGCGGTGACCATTCATAGGTAAGCTTTCTGCTTATCCAAACCTTTCTTGCAACCAAGCAAGGGTCATTCTAGATATTATGTAGGGTATAGAGCCATTCTGCTGCGCTTAAGCCTCCTCAGCAGCATAACCCTCAAACCCACCTACCGCCCTACACCGCACACAGACACACACACAGACACGTACACACAGACACACACACACACACACACACACACACGCGCGCGCGCGCGCGCGCGCGCACTCTCTCTCTCTCTCTCTCTCTCTCTACATATATATATATATATATATATATATATATATATATATATATATATTTCTCTCTCTCTCTCTCTCTCTCTCTCTCTCTCTCTCTCTCTCTCATACACATACTCCTCGGAAACTTTCCAATCACTCAGAGATATTCATTTAATGGTTTACCATCCGCATCTTGAAGGGGTCAATCACGCCCTGTAGCTGAACGCTTTTCAGACGTAATATTTTGTGTTTTACTCAGTGTCAGTTAAAGTTCTAAAACCGTAATGTTTCTTTAGACGAACACATTGATTTCTTCATATTGACATATTTGACGTCCCCTTGGTTGAATTATATTTGTTTGAAATTGTGTTAATATTGGTGCAAAGACGACCGCGTTATTGCTCTTTAAATTGATCCTCGAAGCGAAAAGAAAAAAAGAGGAATAAGAGCAAAGAAAAGCGAAGGGGGACAAAGCGGTGTGAAACGACTCTAAGCAAAGCCCAGGGAACATTAATATTTTGATTCCTGAATTAAAAACTCTTCGGTAGCTATAGGGAACGCAAAGCCGGATCAAACAACATTTTGAAAGCTCTAAAGTTTTTCTAAATCATTATTTTCCTTTAATATTATCTTTTAACTTTGTTGTCCGGATAAGAATCAGAACAGTACTTTTTATCCACAGATAGTATTAGCTTCATTATCATTGCGGCCATTTTTTACTTTAGGAGAAACGTTATTGCCAGTTGTAATCCCTTTGTGCATCGTCTTTAGTGTGGTCACGCCTGACGGTTTGACAAATCTTTTCTTTTGGGACTATATTGAGCTCAGTTCAAGACATGTACCACCAGTACTGCCCTCAACCTCTCTGTCTCTCTTTCTCTCTCTCTCTCTCTGTCTCTCTCTCTCTCTCTCTCTCTCTTTCTCGCTCTCTCTCCCTCTTTCTCTCTTTCTCTCCCTCTTTCCCTCTTTCTCTCTCTCCATCTCTCTCCATCTCTCTCCATTTCTCTCTCCATCTTTCTCTCTCTAGATCTCTCTCCATCTCTCTCTCTCTTTCTCTCTCTCTCGCTCTCTCTCTCTCTCTCTCTCTCTCTCTCTCTCTCTCTCTCTCTCTCTCTCTGTGTGTGTGTGTGTGTGTGTGTGTGTGTGTGTGTGTTGTTTTTTTTTGTGTGCGCGCACGTGCATGCATCTAGGT